GGAGTTGATCTGGCACTATGATGTGAAATGTGAGTATCCCAGGAGGTGGCTTAACCCATGGTGCTACAATGGCTGTACCCATTGTGAAATTTTGAAGCCTACCTATACAGACATATTTTATTTTTCTGGACTTCTAATGTCACTTGCAGTTTAGAATAAAAGTATAATCATGTAAAGCTACAGTATATGTAAGTTTGTATAGTAATTCATTGTTAATTTATTGTATCATGCATTTTTGTACTTTTCTCACCTTTAACTTCTTCTCCCCATATTTTGTGCACTTGTTTGTAATTCTTAAGCATTCTGGACCCGAGCCCGCACTGTGGCGCTGTGGGTTAAAGCCCCTGCCTACAGCACCGGCATCCCATATGGGTGCTGGTTCAAGTCCGAGTGGCTTCACTTCTGATCCAGCTTCCTGCTAGAGTACTTGGGGAAGTAGAGGAGGATGGCCAAAGCGCTGTGGCCCCCATATCCATTTGAGAGACCTGGAAGAAGCTCATGGCTCCTCACTCCTGACTCCAGCCTGGCCCAGCCCCAATTGTTGCTGCCATTTGGGCAGTGAATCAGCAGATGGAAGAGTTCTCTCTGTCTCTATCTCTCTCTGTAACTCTGCCTTTCAAATAAATAAAGTAAATCTTTTAAAAAACATTTGGGACCACCAAATTGATTGATCTATTCTTTCATACCTTAATCTCACCATTGTTTAAGGCATCCAATGAGTTTTCACAAAATACCAGGTTTTGTGTTAAATGCTGGGCATATCAAAGTCTAAAGGACATATATTTTCTTTCCAAGCAGCTCAGTTTTGATTTGAATGGTATTAACTGAGAGTTAAGGAAAAGATTTTGTTTCTACTTCATCTTCTAATGGACTTCTACCAATTTTTACTTTGAAACATATATCAGCATTTTGATTCTATTTTATTCTTTGAAATACTGTGTTTGATATCATTGCTTAAATTTGATATATATATATATATATGTATTTATAATACAATTTAAAAGATTAATATAGGGGCCAGTGCTGTGGCACAATGGGTTAAGCCACCATCTGCATGCCAGTATCTCATATGGGCACCCTTTCAAGTCCCAGCTGCTCTGCTTCCAGTACAGCTCCCTGTTAATGCTCCTGGGGAAACAGCTGAGGATGGCCTAAGAGATTGGGCCTCTGAACCCACATGGGAGACCCAGAGGAAATGCCTGGCTCCTGGCTTTGGACTTGCACAGCCCTGGCTGTTTTGGCTGTTTGGGGAGTTAACCAGTAGCTGGAGGATCTATCTGAGTCTTTCTATATAATTCTGCCATTTTAATAGGCAGATAAATCTTTAAAAAATATTCATGTAGAATAATGAAAATGTATTTCCATATGTAGATTGATATTGCAAGAAATACATTTTGATTTATGAAATTTATAAATTTTAATAGTTTTGATTTCTAGTTTTGGATATCCCCAAGAGATGTTTATTGAACACTCAATTTAAATTTCATACAATGGTGAGTGATTTGACTTAATCTGTCCAAAATAAATCAGTCTTATTTTAACATTATTTTTCATAAATATTTCTAAGATGCTTAAGAAGGAATATGAGGCTCATAAACAAAAAATGCATGGTTACGTTAAAGTAAGTCCAATGACGGGGCTGGTGCCGTGGCTAACTTGGTTAATCCTCTGCCTGCGGCACTGGTATCCCATATGGGCGCCGGGTTCTAGTCCCAGTTGCTCCTCTTCCAGTCCAGCTCTGCTGTGGCGCAGGAAGGCAGTGGAGGATGGCCCAAGTGCTTGGGCCCCTGCACCCGCATTGGAGACCAGAAGGAAGCACCTGGCTCCTTGCTTTGGATCGGTGCAACGCGCCAGCCTTAGCAACCATTTGTGGGGTGAACCAATGGAAGGAACCATTTTCTCTGTCTGTCTCTCTCACTATCTAACTCTGCCTGTCAGATTAAAAAAAAAAAAAAAAGTCAGTCCAATGGGAAAGCTTGAGTGTGCTATAATAGCACCTAAAATAAGTGTCTGACATAAATATACAAGAATAGAGGAGGCTGGCATTAGAGAATTTTTTATGTGAGTATGATTTGCCTTTGCTATGTTAAAAAACAGACAATTTCAAGGGGTTCAGAGGCAAGGAAATTTAATTGAGAAAGGATCTTTATTTTAAAAGAATCGACCCTTTTTAAGAATTTTTATTTGTTGATTCAGTAAACATTTCTTTAATCTCTATTAAGAAATAGACAATTATGGGGCCGGCGCCATGGCTCACTTGGTTAATCCTCCACCTGCAATGCCGGCATCCCATATGGGTGCCTCCACCTGCAATGCCGGCATCCCATATGGGTGCCGGGTTTTAGTCCCAGTTGCTCCTCTTCCAGTCCAGCTCTCTACTATGGCCCGGGAGGGCAGTGTAGGATGCCCCAGGTACTTGGGCCCCTGTGCTCGCATGGGAGACCAGAGAGAAGCACCTGGCTCCTGGCTTCAGATCAATACAGCTCCAGCCGTGGCTGCCATTTGGGGAGTGGACCAACAGAAGGAAGACCTTTTTCTCTGTCTGTCTCTCTCACGGTCTATAGCTCTACCTGTCAAATAAAAAATTATATATATAAAAAAGAAATAGACAATTTAATAAATACATTTTAGAGGAAAGCATACTTACTATATACTTAATGAAATTTTTAAAAATTTCTTAAATTATTTTAGTTTATGAATGTCTCACATTTGGTATTTAATTATGTAGGCATATGTTGGGATGTATTACATTTAAAATATCACACTGAATAGAAACTGCTAAAAATTAAAAATAAACAAAATTTTAATTTAGGTAAGGACATTTATTTATTTAGGACAAAACTTAGGCTCTTTTTCAGATTATTCAAATAATTTGTCGTGAAATGACTAACCTGTTATGTTTTCTAGCCTAAAAATTAGTTATATTTTCTATTGCTACAGATTCGCTATCATCCTTCTTTACTGTGTGGATACCTTTGCTATTTATGAATTAATGTGTATTTTAGGTTAAAATATACAAATATAAAAAGGCTAAACTAAAATTTTAAAGCTGCTGGATTGTTTATTTAAACATGTTAAATTTCTTATATATTCTACTTGATTATAAATGAATACTCTAATCTTGAATAAACAAAGTAATCAAGGAAACAGGACTTGCTACCAGTAAGTGACACAGGACAAAGTCAAGGGCACACTCATGATGTGAACAGGAGTCAATATGTTCTGATGGGCTCCCAGTGAAATGCATGTGAAGTCCATACTAATTAGCTTATAAATCAGACTGATACTACAGTGTATTTGGTCCAGAAAGGCTACCTACTGTCATGCAATCAAGCACTGCTCCTTTAATTGCAATTTATTCCAACAACCACAATTTATTGATCCAAGCATACACTTATGCCACAGCAGTATCATTATTTGACTTTATTTTAACAGCTTCAAAAGGTTAGAAAGTGAAAAACCACTGTGAAGGAGACTGTTAAAAAGTTGAATTGCTAACATTGCTTCAGCATCTATGAATACTGAGCAATGTGAACTATGGATATCAAATTATATAAAAGGAGAGGGAAAACAGGAAACTAATATTACTTAGGTACATGTGTGAGCTTTTTCTTATGCCGAATATCATGGAATTTTTCAGAAAACTCGAAAGAGGGGTCAATATTATTTGCATTTTACAGATGAATGACAGATTAGACAAATCAAATTTTCTAGATCTATAATATTGAAATGATCTATATAGCTTCAATACATGGGTTTAACTTCTTGTGAGAATTTGCACATGAACATTCTATGATACTGTGGTCATCTTGAAATGTGCTTTGTAATACTGAATGTGTGAAGACCTGTTACAACCACATGAGTTTTGTAACCAGTATTTTCTTTAAAACTCAAATCATAAATGTCTGATCATTTTCAATTTTTCAATGTATTGTATTTTATGAAGGACTTAAAAATATTTGAAAGGCAGAATATCTAAGGTTGGAGGGGGAGAGAGAGAGAGAGAAAAAACAAGCTAGCCTCTGTTCACTGGTTTGTTCCCTAAATGCCTGCCACAGCCATAGCTAGGCCAGGGTAAATGTTGGAGCCTGGAACTTCCTCTGGTCTCCCACAAGCTGGCAGAGGCTCAACTACTTGAGCCATCACCTGATGCCTTGGAGGCACATCCTCAGATGCCTCTGAGGAAGCTGTCTTGGAAGCAGAATAACCAGGACATAAACCAGGTAGTCAGATAGGTGATGGTTAACCCGCTGCACCACAATTTCCATACCTAAATAGTCTTTTTCTTTAGGAAATAGTCAGTGAATAGAGATTGGCTTATAATTTGACATTTCTTTATATCCTTTCTTTAATGCTTGAGTAAATGATCAGCTCTCCCAATTCTGCATGCTTCTCTATGGACCTTGATTAGATTTAAGAAAGGTTTTAGTCTGATCTGAGCCAAGGCAACAAAAAGTAGAGGCCTTAGAATCCCTCTTTCTGTTGTTCAGAGCATCTCTGCTATTAATACTGTTTTGTTTTTTTTTTTTTTTTTTTTTTTTTTTTTTGCATTTCGATAAAATTTCTCTCAGAATAAATAAACCAGCACATTAAAAAATTTAAATTTAGGGCCAGTGCCGTGGCTCAATAGGCTAATCCTCCGCCTTGCGGCGCCGGCACACCGGGTTCTAGTCCCGGTCGGGGCGCCGGATTCTGTCCCGGTTGCCCCTCTTCCAGGCCAGCTCTCTGCTATGGCCAGGGAGTGCAGTGAGGATGGCCCAGGTGCTTGGGCCCTGCACCCCATGGGAGACCAGGAAAAGCACCTGGATCCTGGCTCCTGCCATCGGATCAGCGCAGTGCGCCGGCTGCAGCGGCGGCCATTGGAGGGTAAACTAACGGCAAAAGGAAGACCTTTCTCTCTCTGTCTCTCTCTCTCACTGTCCACTCTGCCTGTCAAAAAAAAATTTTTTTTAAATTTAAATCATGTTATCTAGTCCAATATCCTCATTTTTTTTTTTCAGGTGAAGAAATGAAGAGTCAAAGAAGCAATGGACCTGCTTCAAAGCCACACCACTAGTAAGTGATAGCTGTAGCTCCAGAATAATATCAGGGCTCTTTGATTTGAGGTCTTTCTATTTGGTAATAATGGTTTCCCATTTAAGATACAATGCTGAGAACTTACAAAACTCTGTTTTCATCCTTATTTAGACTGTATTTGGTCAGCAGTGCTAAGTGTGTTACCTAGATTCAGTCTTGCTCTGTGTTTTAGATAATTTTTACAAAACAAGTTACGTGAACTTCTATTTAAGAAGAGACTGTGTAACTTTTTAGATGGTATAGCAAAAGAAGAAAAGTTGGCATCCAGTTGAGCATTTTTCCATGATGGGTTCTTATTGTGAATCATTCCATTTATTCCCCATAAAAATATGAGAATTTCCCCCATTTTATAAATACACAACAATGATCCCGGTTAAATATAAGAGTGGGAATAAGAGAGGGAGGAGATGTACAGTTTGGCACATGCTCACTCGGACTTACCCCTAATGGTAGATCTAGAAACGTGCCAGGGGATTCCAATTCGATCCCATCAAGGTGGCATGTACCAATACCATCTTACTAATCAAAGTGATCAGTTTCAGTTCATAATTGATCATAATGATAGTATTAAGAGTCAAAGGTATCACATAAACAAGACTAGTGTCTACTAATACTGATTGATAGAATTAAAAATAGAGAAGGATCCAACATCGGAGTGGGATACACAGCAGACTCATAGGATGGCAGATGTCCTAAACAGCACTCTGGCCTCAGAATCAGCCCTTAAGGCCTTCGGATCCAGCTAAAAATCCCATGAGAGTATTTCAGGCATGGAAAGCCAAGACACTCTGGCAAAAAAAAAAAAAAAAAAAAAACCTAAATGAAAATCTCTGTGAGTGAGATCCCAGCGGAAAGAACGAGCTGTCAAAAAAGGAGGTGCCTTTCTTTGAAGGGAGAAGAGAACTTCCACTTTGACTATGACCTTGTCTAAATAAGATCGGAGTTGGTGAATTCAAGAGGCTTCCATAGCCTTGGCAGCTCATGACAAGAGCCTCGAGTGATAACTCATGCCATAAACAAGAGTGTCAGTTGTTAAATCAACAACAGGAGTCACTGTGCACTTACTCCCCATGTAGGATCTCTGTCTTAATGTGTTGTACTATGCAAATTAACAGTAAAATACTACTCAAACAGTACTCTATTTTGTGTGTCTTTGTGGGTGAAGTCTGTTGAAATCTTTACTTACTATATGCTAAATTGATCTTCTCTATATAAAGATAATTGAAAATGAATCTTAATGAAGAATGGGATGGGAGAGAGAGTGGGAGATGGGATGGTTGCAGGTGGGAGGGAGGTTATGGGGGAAAAAGCTGCTATAATCCAAAGTTGTACTTTGGAAATTAAATAAAAGTTAAAAAAAAGAAACAAACAACAGCTCTGACATGTTTGATCATTTGTACATGAGGTATTTAGTATCAGAGATAAGTTTCATTTGTCAATCTCTGGCCATCAAGATGCCCATTTTTGGTACTATATGAATGCCATTTTGTACTTAAATGGACAAGAACCAAGTAGTACAGAATCCCAGATTAATGTGATATAACCAGTTGCATGATACAAAACATAGTTCAAGTTGCTAAGAGAAAATACTGAAAGATCAATTAGATTTGATCCTTTATATGCTGTGAATATTGATATACTATTTATGTTCTACTGAGTCTCAACTAGTGATCCTTTGAAAGCTAGTTACTATAAAAGTTTAAACATAATGATATTTGTACAGAGGTGACATATTGAAAATAGATATATGTAACCATATCACAGAGATTGGAAACTTCTTAAGGTAAAGTGGAAAGACAGTTTTTACTTCAGCTATTCTAGTATGAAAGACTTGCTGAAAAAATCCAATTGGCAATTGAGGCTGAATAAGATGTAACTATGCAGGGGTAGATAAAATCATTTTGCTTAAAGAGGAGTATATAAACAGAATTAGGAAAGTAGAAATAAGTAGGGGCATTTTAGCAATGGAAAATAAGCTAAATTATAGAATATGATGAGAGTTAGGCATTCAGAAGATTGGACTGGGATTTTTTTATGATAATCTTTGAAGTCCAATTTTAAAACTTATATTTTTGCTTTATATATATATAAGAAGTGTTCATTGAAGGTATTGATGTTTTGTTATAACCTATTTTTCTAATCTCTTGAGTGTTATAATAAAAGCAGTGCTTTGGAAAATATGTTACTAATATAATACATGTACTAAGTTGGAGAGGGAGAATCAAAGGTCAGGACCCAAAAGTAGTGGGGACTGATAAAATAATGTGGCCAAGTATCCCCATTTAATTTTTGTGTGGTAAATATAATAGGATGTTTTTGCTTTCCAGTGGCTTTAATCGTTCATATTTCTATGATAATTTCCAGGAGGAGACAATATCCATCCCCCACCCAATTCTTCCTTAATATTTTTGAATGAATCAATAACTCCATTTTTATATTGCCAACCCACTTTGAAAATCTGACACATACAATAAAGAATAGACGTTATTATACTTTCTTTATTATCCTGGAGTCTTACCACTTCCTACAATGAAAACTTCCCCTATGCTATAAAGACCCCTGAATACCCCAAATTTATACTTCAGATAGAAGGAAGGAAAAGTAAGAGATGTTTACTTTTCTCCTGAGGGAAAAAAGAAGAAGCTATATCATCCTAAAGCTTTTTGCTGGAATAACAAAGAAACCACAATGAAAAAGTCTATGCAAATTAAGAATCATTTAGTATTTAAAAGGTCAACTGCTTGTTTGTAACACCCAGATCTAGAGGGAAGAGTCTGAAAAGTTTTCTCCTCTAATGTTAAATGACCAATAATGGGAAGCTTCTGCTTCTAATGAGAATTCTTTTTAAATACTCAGCATTCTTCTCATTTTACAACTCTTCATCCAGGGCTTATAATTGCCCATTAATGAAGCTGAACAATACCAACCCAATGCCTTGCTGCTTCCTGACTATGCTCTTACAAGTACTGACAACTATACTGTTAGCAATTTACTTCATTCTTCCTCAGTGGAGTTTATACCCATGAATCTTTTCAGTTTTGCTTTTGTTGTACTTTTTTCTGTCTATGTAATACAAGTAAATATGATCACAGGCCTCCTTTAGGAATGAACTTCATTTAATTAAATTTGTATCTGCTGAACTTATCCATTCTACATTGAATATCTGCTCTGCCTCCTTATTAAAAAAATGTGTATTCTGCTGAAATGTTTACTAGCTCCCTCAAAAGTGGACTTTTGCCATAAGAGAACTTTATGTTATGACAATATGTATTAACAGTTCTGAGATTCTAAGAAAGCAACACTTTGATGTAGGGGCTATTCAAGAAAAAAAAATATATTTTATTACATTTTTATTATATTTATAATAATATATTTATTATATTTTTGTTATATATTATATTTTATATATAAATATATATTATATCTACAGATAAATCTATATTTATATATTTTTATATTTTATATTTATATGTATATAAATATATAGCTTTATCTGTAGATGTAATAAAAGTCAAAATGGACCAGCCTTTTGAGGTTTGGTGTGAGCATTGAATACACACCACATGTTATATGTTGGAACACAAAAAATATTTGTTGATATGCATTATTAGTTTGCAACTGACAGTTCTTTTGTCTTTTTGTGAAAGTCCTGTCAGTTAAAGGTTACATTGGTATGGATAGAAATATTAAATTGCAGGCAACTTTCTCAAAAGTCAGTATTCTGCTTTGCTTGAATGTCACTTGTTAGCCAAAAAGATGTGAGTTGATGCAAAGACTTACTTTGCATGCCCATGAGTAATCAGCTGTGCTGGCAACTGAAGATGAAGATGGCATTCTCTGTGTTCTTTCCTGGTACAACCTTAATGCTATTAGAGACAGAGTGGTATTCCATTCGTAGTTTTCTTTTTAGGCACTCCCACTTAGTCTTTGGACTCAAAACATAATAAAGTTCATGTGGTAGAGATGACTACACTTTATGAGTCTAGTATCTAATGTGGAAAAATGACTGAATTTTTTTTCTTTTTCAAGCAGTGTAAATTAGTGTACTCTATATAGATGTTTAAATGAAATAGGATCATTGAAAGCATTTTACATAAAAGATAACATTATAATATGGAAGACAGTGTGGCATAGAGATCCAGAGCAGTCTCTGGAGAAACATAATTTGGCAACAATATGCCTTCTACCATTTACTATTTGTATGATCTTGAAGAAATTCCTAAATATTTTTGGGCCTATAAAAATGGTTTCTGTGCCTCGGTTTCCATACCTGTACTCCTGGACTTCTGAATATTAAATATGTTTTTGCATGTCAAACTTTTGACACATAAACATACATAAGCTTATGATTTGATTACTGTTAAAAAAATGTTTTCTGACCTAAGCATTAATTGAATTGTATCCGAAACTCCTGGTTCCCAACTTACAAAATTTTAATGAAAAAAAGCATAAATTAATATACAGTCTTGTTTTATATTTACATTTGCCTTATGCTTCTTTTGAATATAAAAATGTTATGAATTTACTCAGGACATCCTGGGTTATAATCTGCCTAATATTTTCCACCTAAATTTCCTGATTAGATGTGCAAATTATTGACAGATGTTGTTCTTTGGAATTCTATCTAAATTCATTTGGAATATGACATTAGGAAGAGTAAGTAAGTAGTATTAAATAATGTCACATGTCTATTTGTCTGTCCACCCTAACTGTACATTTTCCAGAAACTTTAAAGTTTTATTTGGAAGTTACAACAAAATGCAGACACACATAATGTGACATGAAAGGAAGAAATTCTATTTTACAAATGAAATTTATTAAACTGATATAAAATGTAAATGAAATAATTACACACACATTTAATAAGCCATAGTGGACCACTTGGAGAAAATATTTTTTAAAGGAAATTAAATGATCAAGAAAATGTCAACATTTGCTGATGTTGCAGTTGTAAGCCAACTCATTTGTTCTGGTTTGTC